TTGGTTGGTTGGTTGGTTGGTTGGTTGGTTGGTTGATTGATTGATTGATTGATTGATTGATTGATTGATTGATAGCAGGAAACTGAATGTAGTTTGGAGCTCAGTCTTTCAACGCCACAGTAGAGTAACTTGCTGAGGCAACATTTTAAAACAGTATCAGAACTAAAAGATATCTTTGTTGTGTAAAAGTGTCTTTTATTGAGAAGTAGGTCTTTTTTAATTTTCCCCACTCGGTTCAAATGTTGTCTAACCAGTGTTCTGTCGCAGGGTTGAACTACTGCTCATCGATAATTGTTTTCATTTTAATTTTACTTTCATTCATTGTTTTTGTGCTGTGTCAAATGCCATTTTTGTTTCCTGAAGAAAAACACACAAAAAACAAACAAACAAACAAACAAAAAAGAAACGAAAAGACGAGTCCCTGCATATCTCGGAGACGTGCGTCGCTCAGGCTAAAGCGCTAAAACCTTCTCCCCTCGCAGCGTTGTAAGTTAATTGGCCTGTGTTGATGGCTGTGGCGATATTGCCTGTGATGGTTGCCGTTAGCAGTTTTATTTTGTTGTTGTTTTTTTTGTCGTTGTTATCTTTTTTGGGCTGTTGCCTTGATTCACCATGCTGAACTGCATGGCGGGTTACTATGGCGGCCATGAACTGTGTTTGGTGCATTGTGAGTTTCCTCCTTCTATTATTTTGTCCTGTTTTTTTTATCCTTGCAAACACTGATCAATAATCGTCACTTTACCTCAGCATCTGTAAGGAACTGATTATCATGACATGCTGCTGCACCTTTTTTTTCTTTTTTAGTTATTAAAAAAAGTCTAAATCTAAATAAGCTTCTTGTCCACTAAAATTTGACCCGTTTACCTTTCCCTCTGGATTTTTTGTTTTGTTTTTGTTTTGTTTTTGTCTGTCATGATTATCATTCTTACACTCCTCTGTTTAGTTGGTTGGTGTGGTAGTTGTTTTTTTTTTTGGTGAGTTTCAGGGTTTTTTGTTTGGTTGTAACTCATTTCCAAGTGACTTTGTGCCTGAGCTTTGTTTGATTTCTGTGAGACCTAAAACGTTCTGAACGTGCCCCCGTAAATGGTCGACAACATGGTGTTTGTGTTTGAAAGAACGTGTGTGTTTTTATTCCAAATGTGAGATTCAGACACAATGTAGCCACTGCAGTTTATATCTGATAGATGTGGAAATAAAATAAAAAGCTGCTGTGTTTGTGGCCATTTGGATGTGTTGCACTGTGACCTCACTGTATTTTAGAGGATCTGGGTTGAAACTAGTTTGGTTCCTGTGACACGTGCTGCTGGCTGAGGAACTGCATTTCTCTGTAGGGATTCTGGGACTCAAAAACTTCAAACAAAAAAAATGACATATCTCTTCATCCATTTTAAAAGGATAGGAAATTTGGTGCACAGAGTATCTGCTGGT